TATACATTTGCTCTTAGATTTTTTGATCCAATTAAGTCTGAATTTTTCAGTGTTTAGCAATAATCATTTCCAGCTGATAAGGTGGCAATGTGGACTATGGCATGGAGGGAAAGTAATGTAATAACTCCGCAGTTACACAGAAAGGAAAGAGAAAATGAATATGCATAGCTTTAGGGCAGTTCCTTGCTTATCACTTGCAGTAACCTGTTCCTGAACCATCCATCCTGCTTTGAGAATATCCATGGTAAATCTTCTTTCTCCTCAACAGCCCCCTCCCCGATGCCATAACCTTCCTTTTGGGTGGGGACTCAGTAATCTGTGTTGCAAGAGCAAAGGAGAGATGGCATTTTCCTGCACAGGGCAGATAAGGTCCATCCTCAGCCCCCGTGACATTTGGGTCTGGGGAGCATGAATGAGGTAACGCTGATGGGAGCACAGGCGAGAGGCCGGTGTCCTCTGTTGAAATCCTGACTTGCTTTTGCCAGCCCAGCCCTACAACAGTCATCTTGCAGGGACTTTGGAGGCCAGAAGGCCACTACTGCCATTGCTTTTTGAAGATGGTGGCCTACTCCACAGCACACTTTGTAGACAAGGAGCAGTTGCCAACAGTGTTCCAACTAGCTTAACCGGAGCTGTGTGCAGGTGGTTTCATGGTTAAAAGTCCTAGTAGTGTAAAAAGAAATCAGAGTAACAGGTGAGCATACATCTGATGTTGTCTCCATAGTTACCACCTCTGCCTTCTATTTCAACACCCTGCTTCGCTTGCAGAGTTTACCTTCCATGCACTTGGGCTCCCTTCTCCCTTTGCTGATAAGCAGAGCTCTTCCCTTAATTAAGTCAACACGTAGGCAGAGGCAGCATCTCTTTTGGCAAGAGGACCTGAGCAGAACCAGCCCCAGAAGCAAGTGAAAATGTGTGTCAAGCTGTGATTAAGTAGCTGTGATTAAAGACTGAATAATTACCCTCCCAAGCAAATAGGTCTTAAAATGTTCTCTCAGGCTACAAGCATGAAACCTACTGGGCCTGCATGATGGCTCACTATGAAGGGGTGGGGAGGCCGGGACATTCAGGACATCAAGTGTTCATTTAAGAAAGGAAACCCAGGACCCAGGGGAGGCCATCTAATAAGTAGCCATAGCTGCCAACCGATTCCCCATCTTCAAAATTTGCCCAGGTCTCTGGCTACCTGGAGATCAGCATTCTGAACCAGGGCCCCATCGTGACAGATATGACATTCACATATTTGACACATTCTCTGAGCTCTGTGCAATCCTGGTGAAATACCTATAATTTATTTTCTCTTTCTCAAACTAAAAAAACAAAATTGTTGGAATACAGTTGATAAAAGTGATGTCATATTTGTTTTTATTTAGTTTAAAAAATGATGTATTTCCCAAAAGTGTGCCAATTAACTGTGGTTGGTAGTCAATAACGCCGGTACCCTATGCAATGTATTTCATACCCACACGTGTGTTTTGCTATTCTAGGCCAATGCGGCAGCCTCTTCTGCATTCTCTTATATGCCCATCTTCTCCCAATTTCATACAGTTTGTCCTCCTTGCAAGGCCTGAGTAACATTCCAGGCAGTGATCCCTAGGAAAGTGGTGCAGTCTGATAGTTAGAATTATAGATGCCAAACCCTTTCATTTATGACCTGCTATTTGTTGGTTTTGGCTGGAATGAATATTTGGCAGCATATTTATCAAAGTTAATTGGCAAGCAAATCCCAAGGGAACAAAGCATTAAAAAGTTCGGGTATGGCTTAGCATCCTTAGCATACCCAGTCCTGACTTGGGGACTTTTACCCCCACTATTCATGAGGCAGGGGTACTGTGGGGAAAAAACAACAACATGTAGACTTAAGTGTTAGGGAGAACCAGGATTGAATCATGGTTCCTCCTTGGCTTTGAGCCAGTCCTTAATCACTCTTAATTATCAGGTTTTAATCTAAAAAATGTGAATATTTTTGAAATTGTGAAATTGCTACAAGGTTTAGAGACAATGGATACAAAAATGCCCTGGTAATGCCTGTTACACAGTAGCACTTCACAAAAAAGCCTTAAGAAAATATTTATTTACCCAAATACCACTGTCTACCATGGATGGACCAATTCAAGTAGGTGGTGAGAGAGTTACAAGCCTCAATATTTTGGAGAGTTTAGCATACACTGAGTGATTACAGGCAGGAGCGGTCTCGGATGAGACACAACAGAGGCGAAAGGAAGAAAACTGTGACAAGCAAAATGCTTTCCTGAAATCCTTGCAAACATTTGGGGACATTTTTGAAAAAAGAGATTCAAGGTCTGTTTTAATGCATGCAATTTGAATTGCGGAAGAAATCGGGTTTTGCCTATACCATCATGTCAAGCTGACTTTTTGTGCTGCGGAGACAATCCCAAAGCAGCTGCTTTTCATAACACATTAGAGAAGACATTCTGACCCCTGTTGCCCTGGGCAAATTCTTCAAACTCCAAATAGATGCAGTAAACATGTAAGTATAAATATGACCACCATTTGTTTAACCGTGACAATTTTAGATAGTTTTTGGCATGCTCAAAGGTACAGAGATTTTTTGTGGGTGAATAAAAAATATCTTGGATATTGTTATCCCACTTTGGCTAAGTCTTGGGTGACATTATTAATTTCTTGTAAAATTGGAGTGTTTATACATAATACCATATTATGGGAAAGGAAAAAATGTTAAAGTTTACCTCCCTGGAGGGAGTGGGTTGGAGAAGAGTGTAGCAGATAATTATTTATGGATCATTTTGCATGAACACAATTGTCATGGCTTTTGTCTGATGACGGAAAGATTTTCTAGTTGTTTATTTTGATTAGCACTGGCATTAATGCTAGCTTTCTGGTGATCTTAAACTTAAATTTAAATATCTAATATTTAAATTCGTCAGTAATGCAGTTTAAAGATCATCTCAAACATGGAGGCACATTTTGCTGAAGAAAAATTGTTACCATTCTTTCATGGGGATTTTGTTCGTGGAAGAGGAAGCCTGGCCAGAGTATTTTTTAAAATTCAGATTCTGAAAGAAGTTCTTCTCAACAATGAAACTTATTTTTCCTATTAAGGTAGAAGAGGAGCGAGGTTTGCAAATTCACATCCTTCCCTGGTGCCTACATCCATAATAGGACAGCCACATCTGGTAGAGCTGTTGTGGGCCATGCAGAAAGACCAGAAGAGCCTAAAAATCCAGCCAACATCTAATGCCAGAATCCAATTTATGAGCACAAGGCAGAATGTCTATCTGGTCAGCAAGAAGACACTCACCAGAAAGAGGTGAGAAAGTGGTAATATTCTATGTCCAAACACAACCAACAACCAAATCCAGTCCACATACAAACATTCCCTCCATGGCAGTATGCGCAGGTATTAGCCTTTCAGAAGGATTTAAAGAAATTATCATTTTGCTGCAAGGGAAGAAGAAATAGATGATGTTGGCTACTATTTTGCCATGAAGGTTTAAATAACGGCTACATTCTACTTCAAAATTTCTAGAGGGAATTACCCAAATATGGGGAAAGAGGCCACTGAAATGATAAGTAGTTTTAGACCAGTGATTCTTGTCAATAATTATTTCAAAACCATAAATCTCATTTTAAATTCTTACTGTGAAATATGAAAAATATTTTAATTTTTACATATAATTACCATCTTCATATTTAGTAGGTATACTGAGTTATTAAGGTTTACCAAAATTTGGTAGACAAAAACCAAAAAATAGCATGTTGCCTGAAGAAAGTGGAAATAAATGAAGTGAATGGGATACTGGATTTTTTACCAGACTAAATGGACATCTGTCAAAAACTCTTTGCAAACTCCTGCTATTGAAGGGCTTTTAGTCAGTATGCTCCCAAGATAAGTGTGTGTCACTCAAATTTCAGAAAGGATATACTTAGATCATAAGGCTCATTCCAACATTCTACAGGTGCATGGAGACCTTGGTTCTCATCCACTATGCAAAAGTGAAGCAGCTGAGAAGAAATGGAAATCAAGATGTGCCTTTCAAAATATTATCACATGTGGCTTTTCATAATAGAGTTCTGAAAAAGGTAAGTGATTTGTCAAGAAAGATCTTTCTAGGCCATGTCAAAGAGGCTGTAGAGTAATTTTGCAGCCTCTGATTTAGCATGAAATTAGCACCCATTCCACCCCAACCTTTTGATCTTTAAATATCTTTACATGAGAAGACTTCCTCCATCTGATCTAGGAACTGCTTAATGGAATTTTGTCCACAGTAGTTAAGTTGAAAAAATTACCCTCATCTCCACTGTCTTCCAATAGGAAAAACCATCCTTTCACTGGCTGGTTCTTTCAACACACTCTAGACCCAAGCCTAAAGGATGTGCCTACTTTAGTGCAGAGACATGCGTGCCCCTCACCTTCATCCTTAGGGAATCAGGAGAAGTAGCTGGTCAAGTCCCCAAAAAAGGTAAATCTCACTGTCAAGTTTAACCCAAGCTGAGACACTGGATGTATCAGAAATGAAGTGTAAAACTTGCTCTGAAAATAATGAGTATCAGCCACCATCTTAAGGCTCTTCCTCTCCAGGCCCTCACCCTGTAAATATCCAACACCGCTGTCAATAGGTTTAGCCTGAAAATAAAATCCCCTCACTCCATCGAGAACTAGCTCCAAACTTAGAGTGTGTGCTGAAAATATTCATGATGAAATCATAATCCTATATTTATAGACTTTTGGATGGTGCATGAAATTCTGTTTCCCATGGTGTTTTTCAATGAAGGGGTCAGACGTGGAGAGCGGGCTCAGAGGATGCCCCAGAGAGCATTAGCCTCAAGGACGTGCTGTTTATCCTCATTTTGAACTGCATGGCCGTGTGACATCCTCCCTCCTCCCTGAGCCCTACCCACTGCCCAAGAGTTGGTCTCCTCCCCCACCCATTCCCAGATGGTCCCTGGTTGGAGGGTTCTGTCTTGTCATCCAGGAAGAATGAACATGCCTAAGATTATCCCCCCTTCCTTCTGACCTTTCCTGTCCTCTAGACTTCCTCCCCGTTTTCACTGAGGGAGATGGTGTGGATCTTAATGGTTGGAATTTGATGGTTCTCTCCATGGCTGGGGGTCGAGGGCCCCATGCAGCAGCAGACCTGCAAAAAGCTTTTACTTCTCACCCGGGCTGTGGTGCAGGCTGATTGGTCTTTGGACACTGTAATCTTGGCAGATCCACGAGGCAAGGAAGAGAAAAACTTCCATTCACAGACCCCATCTGTCTTGGAGATCTTATAGAAGGTCTCTCCTGAGCTCACGGGGATGCGCACCAGGTCCTTGTGCTGCCCCTCCGAGGTGTGGCTGGGCGGGTGCAGGGTGTATCCCAGGGCCCGTTTGGAAGACTGCTTTTTGCGGAGACACTGGATTCTCAAGACATTCTGAAAGGCCTTTTTAAACTCTTGACTGGAGCATGGATATATAATAGGGTTGATGCAGCTGTTTAGGTATCCGAGCCAAAATGCTATTTTAAAAACTGTTTCAGAGGGCTTGAAGTCAGGGAAGAAAGACCCTGGAAGGAAACACATAGATTCATACATATTATTTGCAAGCCAACAGGTCAATGGTCTAGGAAAACAAGCAAACAAACCAACAAACATCCTTTTATATTATTTTTTAAAAGTTTCAAATGATTCCAAGTGCATTTGAGTTTTTCACATTTGACTGACTAGCCCTGATGAATGTAATCCTTTGCACTAACCCCAAGACCATTCTCTTTGGCCCACATGTGCAACATCAATAATGCAAGCAGGCCCAGGGGGTAGGGTCGCACTGGTTCTCAGTGATAAACATTCCCTCATGTCTGCTTGAAAGCTTTACATAATGAAAACTCGGAACTTAAGCTGAGTCTATATATGCAAATTTTTTTGCCTGAATTTTAAAATAACTTGGAATTCATTCAAATAACCCATATAAAAATGGGGTTATTTTAGTATTCCTTTTGCTCTTTAAAGCAATGTTATACAGACACAGCCTAAATAGTTAGGAATTTCTTCTCTCCTGAATATTGGAATTGCATATTTTAATAAGATTCCAAAATTTATAAAATATTAGCTTTGTCAACTTTTGGCCAGTGATTTTCAATTACACTGTAAGTACAGTCACCTACCTACTATGTTTAGACTTACACTTTTATGTTGGTGCAAATTCAGCAGAAACTGCACTTTGAATTTTGAGTTGTGATCTTTTCCTGGGCTAGTAATATGTGGTACAATACTCTCTATGATGGTGGGCAGTGACAGCAAGATGATTTTGCCTAACTGTAGGCTAATGTAAGTGTGCTGAACTCATTTAAGGTAGGCTAGGCTAAGGTAGGTTAGGTGTGTTAAATGCATTTTTTTATTTATGATCTTTTCAACTCATAATAGGTTTATTGGGATATAACTCTATTGTAAGTTGAGGAGTGTCTGTATTTTTCTTTGATGATGCCTTTTGATGTTACAATATGCTTCCCTGCTCAACATACTCCAATGTCTGCCAAATGCTTATAAAATGCTTGTCAACTGCTTGACATTCAGGGTTCTCCACAGAACTCGACCTAATCTAGCTTTCTAACGTTAATACTTTTACTCTAACCAAACACTATGAACTTGTCTCCAAGTTTGTAGTGAGTCTGGTTGCTCACTTTTTTTGTCCTCTTGAGTTGGGTCCCAGTGTCTAAAATGCCCTTTCCCATCCTCTTTAGCTACTCAAGTCTTGTTTATTAGTTAACAAAGCAGGAGTCAAGTTTCATACCTCTTTAAATATCCCATATAATAAAAGGCTAATATGCAAATTGACCAAACGGCAGAACGACCGGTTGCTATGATGTGCACTGACCACCAGGGGGCAGATACTCAATGCAGGAGCTGCCTCCTGGTGGTCAGTGTGCCAGAAGCTGTGCTCATGGCTGGCAAGTGCAGTGGTGGTGGCAGGAGCCTCTCTCGCCTCCATGGCAGTGCTAAGGATGTCCGACTGCTGGCGGGGAGCAGGCCTAAGCCATCAGTTGGACATCCCCAGAGGGCTCCTGGATTGCAAGAGGGTGCAGGCTGGGCTGAGGGACCCCCCCCCAAGTGCACAAATTTTGTGCACCGGGCCTCTAGTTGTACCATAACTATCACATAGCCGTTGGCAGCAGAATAACAAAACTACGGAACCTTAAACTGGGAACTATCTAAGGCATTATCTTATTCAATTACTCAATTTCCAAGTTAAAAACATGATGATTGTCACCCACTTGATAGCTATGGTACTAATACAGTGATGGATAAAGGGATCTAGAACTCCCAGTCCAGTGTTCTTTATTCTCTGCACAGCTTTTTTCTTTTGCTCCAGCTTAAAACCTTTATTTTATTTTTTAAATTTTTTTTATTAATTTCAGAGAGGAAGGGAGAAGCATCCTATATAATAAAAGGTTAATATGCAAATAGACCGAACTGCAGAACAACCGAACAACTGGTCTCTATGACGTGTGCTGACCACCAAGGGGCGTGTGTGGAACATGGCGGGTGTTGGCCACGGCAGTATGGTGGAGCAGGTGAGGAGGGGAGCCAGCCAAGGAGGGGCACCAGTCGCTGTCATCGGGGTGAGCCTCTGGTGGTTACCGAAAATTCTTTGCTCCCGCACACTGCAGGCCCACCCGGCACTTGCACCTGCTGCGGGCGCTGGCCCTGATTGCTTGGCCCCATCAGTGGGTGCAAGAGGTGGCTGCTGGCCCTGATTGCCCCTCAGGGCTTCTCCACCTTCCTCTGCTCCTGAAGGGTGATCGAGGCCAGCAGCTGCTGCTCGCACCCACTGACAGCACCAGCCCTGCTTGTACCCACTGCTGGTGCCGTCCCCAATCGCTCCACGCTATCAGCGGGTGGGAGTGGGGCTGGCACCATCAGTGCATGGGAGCCATGGTGGCTGGAGTAGGGCTGCCGGCAGACAGGGGACCAGGAGCAGCAGTGGGAGGGCTGGGTGGAGGCGCAGAGGATGGGCCGAGAATTGCCCCCATACCCATCACAGCCTCACGGCCCACAGTTCCTTTCAAGGTGCACAAATTCATGCACTGGGCCCCTAGTCAATGATAAGAGAGAATTGTTGATTGGCTGCCTTCTGCATATGCCCAACTGGGGATCAAGCCCGCAACCCTGGCATGTGCCTTGACTAGGAATCGAATGGGTGACCTCCTGATTCATTGGCCGACTCTCAACCACTGATCCACACCAGCTGGGCAAGGCCTTGCTTTTATGTCTTTCTTTTTCTCTCTACTCTATGGACCCATTAGAGGCATGCCAAACTGATGGGTGTCTTTATTCTAGCAAACAATGCCCTAAAATTTAGTAGAGGATCTCATCAATATAAACAAAGAGTACACTTAAATATTGCAAAAAAAAAACACCCAAAATGATACAGTGGTCAATGGGAGCATGTATTATCTCTGAGGCACACTCCCTGCTAAGTTCAGTGTGTCTCAAATAAATTAAAACACACACACATACAGAGAGAGAGAGAGAGAGAGAGAGAGAGAGAGAGAGAGAGAGAGAATGGTTGTAAAGTATTATTCTTTAGCTCCAAAGCTTTTAACGTTTTCTTATAATTATAATAGGATTTATTTATATTGAGTTCCTGGTTTGAGCCAGGCCTGTGCTAAACACTTTACATTCAATTTCGTCATCATTAGCAACATCCCCACTTTACAAATGAGGAAACAGTGGTTTAATGAGGTTGAATAATTTAATCAATGTCACACAGGCAGATGGTTGCTGGTAGAGGTGGGATTTAAAATTGGACAGTTGGATTTTCGGGCCTATGTTCCTTTATGGCATCTCAAAATAGATTTGAATAATACACCTTTTGGGAAAGAAGATGTTGAATAGAGAGTGATGACTTGTATAGTTGCAGTAAGCTAAATTGGAAACATGCTTTTTCTTTTTCTTTTTTTAAATTTGTATTGGTTTCAGGTGTACAGTATAATGGTTAGGCAATCATATACTTATACAAAGTGATCCCCCCAATATTTTGATGCCTCTGACACAGTCACAAGGTGGTAAACTTCATCTGAGCAATTCCTACCTGACCCCATGCATAGTTATTACAATATTATTGACTATATTCCCTATGCTGTACTTTACAGACTATGACTATTCTATAACTACCAATTTATACTTCTTAATCTCTTCATCTCTTTCACCCAGTCCCCTAATCTCCCTCCCCTCTGGCAGCCACCAGTCAATGAGTCTATGTGTCTATGAGTCTGTTTCAATTTTGTTTGTTTATGTTTGTTTGTTTATGCTTTCTCAAACTTCATTTGAGATGTGAAGAAAGTGGCCAAGGCCAACAGGAGTGGTGGTTTTGCTTGAATATGATCAGTTCTAGAAAAAATTATTTTTACATTATGATGCCAATATATTGTCCAATATATTTTCCTAATACAATAGGAAAATACATGATTAAGGGAACCCATTTCACAAAGGCATGCCTTGATCTGGCCTTAATGAGAATATATGAGTAGGGTATACCAAGAACTACTTTGTCTGAGAATTTCACTATTCTATAAATCAACTAGAAAGGGGAGTACATTTCTATTATTTTAAGAATTTTAATTAAAAGAAAAATACATGAATTATGAATGGGAATGCTAATAAATTGATTTGAGATCCTTGGAATTTCCCCCAATTCCTTCAAGGGCACTCTTTCTGCTTACAGAGCCCTGATCTGCATGCATAAATGTAAATCTCAAATTTCCTTTTAGTCCCTCCATTGAGGCCCCTTACCTTCAGGTCTGGCTGACTCAGAGCTGAGTTCCTGGGCTCTCTCTACTGTGGCTTTCCTGCTGTGTCTACAGCTTCAGAGCTAAATACTGGTCCTCCCCACTAGGTTTAGATATGTCTAAACCTAGCATGATGTGCCCACTCCCAATCTGACAGTTCCATAGGGGCAGGCCATGGGATTCATTTTTCCTTCTCGTAGTGTTTGTCCTGCCCTGGGGATGATTCTCTTTCAGTAGGTACTGGTTGGGGTTAGCAAAAAGACTCATAACTGTGTTTCCCTCAGGAACTTTCCAAAGGTGTGAAAAGACAACAATGGGCTGTTTCCCTCCTTACTTGCATTCTTCATATCCTTAGATCTCTTTCTTGCCTTCATTTTTTCTCTACTGGGAAGGAGAGATTGAGCTGGGATCAGGCTTGGAAAATGGCTGTTGCTGCCTGGTCCCAATCAGGGTCCCCTCATCCTGCTAGCTCCTCTCTATCCAAACCTTCCTGCTCAGGGACTTCTCTGAACTCTTCATTATGTCTATCCCCAACCTCACTTTCTTCTCAGATCCCTTTCTTCTTGATGATGATGATGGTGCTTTTTAGAATGGGAAGGGAAGTGGATCATGCTTCTCCCTGTCCTCCATCCATCTTGGCATGGAGCACCAAGGTCAAAGCTGCCTGGTTTAGGGATCGATGCCTCTGACACAGTCACAAGGTTGTAAACTTCATCTGAGCAGGTACCATGTTCATTTTGTCTACTCATGGAGTTCCAAAACCCAGCACAATGCTGGCT